GTTTAAACAGAACTGGCTGGTATCTCCATTTTTGCAAAAGAGATAATACAAAAATGTATAGCCGAAAAAACTATAATAATTTACACAGATATCACACAAACGCTACTAGCCTTGAATAGACCACGTGTCACATCAGGGTTAATATTGGAGTTTCACGAGTTACTAACTCAAACTTTAAATGGTAATAACATAATTTTTAAGACAAATCCATTGCTTACCAATTGACATGCAAGACAGAATCTTAGGACTCTTATGACCTGAAGATCTTTTTAGTTGGTCAACTTCAACAATCGCGGAAATTGTTAAATGTCACTTTCATACACAAATCGTGAAAAAAAGGAAAGAAGGCCAATGATGTAGATTTGCCAAGGGTTAACACTTGAAGTAAACTTGAAAGTTCAGCATCAAAGAAGTACTTGACAATGACCAGCAAAAACCTACGCTTAACAGTTGATTTTTTAACTGATCATTATCAACTAAGCAAATAACTCCAACAACTGTACACCTGTAAATCTCCACAGGACTTTGTGGGAAGGCTCAAAGGGTGCATTCTTGACTACGAGTTATGTGTTCAGGAGCCATGACTTTAAACTAGAAACAAAAATAAGACTACGAGTATTTATAGAGCTTTAGATTATGTAGAATCTCTAAATTGGCTTGATAGCATATATTTATATTAGGGATAAAAGATTACTCCAAAAATCGAAATGTGTCTTGCATATTTGTTACAGTAGACTCCCGTAAGTTCGGCTTTTCTTAGTTCGGTCTCCGTTTAGTCCATCCAGCTCTCTGAGCATCAGTCACACAGTTGGCAAGCGCCAGCCTGACGCGAGCAGTGATTCTTGTTTCACTTGTAATTTTTTGTGTTTATATAGACAGTATACTTATTGTGTGTGTGGACAATAACTATTTCGCGTCGTGCATTAAACTACTATAAAACGAGTGAAATGCGTAAAAGTAAGTACAAGTCAATGGAACACCGACTAAAAGCTCTGGAAAGATTGGACAAAGGAGAATCCGTGCAAAGTATGTACAGAGATTTGAACGTGGGCAAAAGTACAATCAATCAACGACTGGCAGCTCAATAAAAAAACTATCGAAGCTTATGTACACAAATTGAAACTGAAAATGTTTTACAAAAGCGTTGCACACTGAGAAAAGCAATACACGAATTGTTGTAAGATGCGCTGTGGTTGTGGTTCGTTCAAGAACGAAGACGAGTAACCCCGTTAAGTGGAACAATTCGAAAAGAGAATGCTCTGATCTTGCACTTAACGCTTTAACCAGAAGAAGCGTTCTCAGCTATAGTTTATTTTTATGAACAAGAGAGTAATTAGCATAATTTTAACTGGTATCTCCGACCACTCCATGGGCGTGTTCAAGATTAATTGAAAAATTACATTGAATAATTGTAAAAAATAAATGAATTATTTCAGTGTTATGTGTATGTAAACAAAAGTGACCTCTTTTATCACACACTATATTAGAACTGACTGGCCTACATTAAAAAGGGTTTTAAAAACTTCACATTTTTTTTAATTTTTAAAAATTACAAAAGAGAAAAAGAATAGAAGAAGAGAAAAAATATTAATATAAAACTTACAGCTACTTGTTACAAATCCAAATCAGATTCAGAACATGAACTTTCAGAACCAAGATTTATAATAACTGGCTCGATCATTTTATCAGTAATATTGTCCAGCTTCCACATTTTTTCCTCTTCTTTAATAGTGTGATTTACTGCCTTTTCCCAGTTTTCAGGTTTTACATTATTTACGGCCTCCAAAAACAACTGTTTAACATCATGAATTTTAAAAGTGGTATTTTTTCTTGAAACTTCACTCTTTATCTGTGCCCATACCAGTTCAATCGGGTTTAATTCACAATGATATGGTGGGGATCTAAGTACTGTAATTCCACGATTTTTGGCAATTTCATCAATTTCGTATTTTTTAAATTTTTCTTTATGAAGGGCACACAACGAATAAAGTTCCTTTCTTATAGATCCGGGATGGTACGTAATATTTTTTGAACTCAGCCAATTCTGCAAGTCTTTTTTAACCACTTGGTTGTGGGCAGTCCTTCTATAAGTCTGGAGTGATAACTTGCATTATCCATTACTATTACACAGTTCTTAGGAAGAAGATCTATCATTTGTTCGAACCATTCTTGAAAGACATCAGCGTTCATGTCTTCATGGTTGTCACCGGTACGAGTTGATTCAAAAGTTAATAAACCACCTTCAACAAAACCGTCTGAACTGCCAATGTGTACTATTATCAGCCTGCGTCCCTTTCCTGATGGTGGGTTTAAACCAGTAGATAAGTTATTTATAAAAGCGTGCCTTTGACTTGTAACAGTTTCATCCTGCCAAAATTTATTTGGTGTATGACCCTCGTTGATCCATGTTTCATCAAGATAACATATTTTTCTTTTTTGGTTTCTCATTTCCTTTATGGTTCTTAGAAAATGTCTTCTCCATATGACAATATCGCTTCTTACTAATAAAATATACTTTCTGGGATTCTTTTTCCAGCGGAAGCCTATTTCTTTTAAAAGTTTCCATAACGTACTTCGACTCATTTCTGGGCAATCCTTATCATCTCGAACTGAGACAAGAACTTTATCCAATGTTGGAAATTCTTGTCTAAAGAAGAATTCATGCACTTTCCGTCGAAGTCCTTCTTTAAAATGATATTCTATTTGAAATTTTGGTTTCCCTGGAGCATTACGTGGCATTTGAAAACTACCACATGCCTCTTCTTTAATAACTCTGTAAATCGTAGATTTCCCAACACCAAGTATACTGCTAACTAACTCAACGGTCTCATCAACACTTTCACATAAACGTTTGTCTGTAAATGATTTAAAACAATTAAATATTAATGTTTCTTCATTAACTGTTAAAGGACCAATTTTTCGGCGTTTACACGGCACTTCCAAATTTTCCATTACACTAGTATACACAATAAACTGCACCTTGCAACTGAAGTACCTACTTTTAGTGAATTGTTAAGAATTTTGAATACGCCACTTGGACCTTCCTACAAAATGGAAAAACCCACTATCATATTTTCTGTGGAATAAGTTTAGAAGGTAGTTATCTAGTCAATTACTGTCGTTGATTCCTGGAATTAAAGAATTAAATGTTTGATTATTGAAACCCTTACTTCTTGGAATGCACTCATTTCAGATAAAATAAAACGTTTTATTTTATCTAAAGAATTAAACTTTATTTTGCAAATAGGTAGGTAAATACTTATTAAACTTTTATTGCTTATATATAACCAATAAAATAAACATCTTACATTTCTTGCAAATTCATTAGTACCTGTTAACCTCTATCACTCCGACACTGGCAACCTTATTTAGGGATTAGTAACCCTCACAACTATTGTATTCTATTCTGCTCCAACCTTTATACCTGGTGGTCTTACTCAATTTAAAATTGTTTTCCTATATACTTCTGTAAACTTGTTGACAAATATCTGTTTTTCATTGAGTCACCCGTAGCAACAGTTTAGGGATTTGCATACATAATTTATTGTTTTATTACTCTCTCATACATAAAAATATACTATAATGTAAAAAGGGCGATTTTGGTAATTTTAAGAATAAAAACTTTTTTTTTCAAAATTTCACACATGTTCGATTTAAAGTTTAGCATGAAATATCTTCTTTTACTTTAAATATCATATTCCAACTGTAATATGTTGGTTATTTAAGTTTTTGATAAAACATGCTTTAGAACTCACCGTGTAGATTTTAATAAATATTCGGTGAATGTATTAAGATTAACTCTAGTTTGTAACCCCCTCTGTGGCTCAGTGGTAAGAGCGCCTACCTTTAAACCTAAAGGTCGTGAGTTCGAATCTCATCTGGGTGTAAATTTTCGTTTATTAAAAAAAATTAATAAATGAAAATAATTTCTATCCTTGTGTGATCGGTACTCATCGGAGGGACCGCAGACGTTCGGATACAATTAGCGTCTCTTAGCGAAGACAATGACGTCGACTTTGCTAAGTATCAAGCCAATTACTCTACACACACACAAACACACACACACACACACACACACACACACACACACACACATACACACACACACACACACACACACACACACACACACACACACACACACTACATTAATAAACTTATCTTGATTGAGACTGGCTGAATGACAATTGTCCAAGCCAAAACACACAAAATAAACTCTAGTATGTAAAAAGCATTTACTGAGGTAGGACTTAAAGAATAAATAGTAGTTTTTGGTTAAAACTTTAATAAATTAAAATATATGTATCTTATCAAACTAAATTTTACAATAATTACATTTATTTAAAGTGTCTGCACTATATTTGAGATTGATTTCCTAACGCCCGAGATTATCAAGAAAACGGATGTACTTTGATTTTATTCACTACATCGCTCTAAAGGTGTGGAGCTACGATGTTTAAGATGGATTTATATATCAGTCGCCTAGATTCAAAACCCGACAAATCACAATATTTTCAAAACCTTTTTTATTGGATATACGAATTTTAAATACATAAACCTACAAGTCCATAATACATTTATCAAGCAAATCAAGACATATTCGATAATTATAGGCTCCCAAAATGTATCTTAGATGCAAATACCGTCAGGTCCATTCTCGTTTTAAATGCAAAAGCCGACACTTCCAATCCGCCAATAGACGCGTAGTATTTTACTCGCCACGTGATTTCGGTTGACAACGTGTTAGCCAAGCAGATCAGTTTAGTTTATGCTTTTAAGTAAGTTGTTTGCAGTATGTGTAATAAATTGCTAAAATAATGGATTCATTGGCAACTTTCAATACTGTTGGACAGGTTATTAATGTAAAACAGTGTGATGTGACAAAAGCTCGAAAAAGAGCGAAGGTTGAAACAAGAAGAGAAAAGGCAAAATGTGCAAGGTATAAACTATATTATTACAATAAATTAGTACATTATTTATGATGAAATAATTATTTTTAGGTATGCTGCCAAAATATTGCCTGTGTACCCCACTGTGTATGCACTTGCGGCCATAAGGGAAAGCCATATCAACAACCATTTCAATGTACATCTCATCTGTTCATGAACGATGTCAGAGACTTCCATTCAGCTTTTTATCAAAATAAGGATAAAAGGGGACAAGATTTGTTCATTTTACACCACATTGACTCACATATCCCAGTAAGACAAAGGAAACGAACAGCCAACAAAAATAAACCAAAATCTTGTATTTTATCCTACAAATTGAAGAGAAGTGACAGCCTATTTGTTCCTGTATGTCGAACAGCTTTCCAAGGTATTCTGAGAATTAAAAAAGATAGAATTTTAATCATTATGAAAAACTACAAGTAGCATTCGCTTATTCCTACCGAAAGACGGGCGAAGATCGAATTGGACAAAAAAACGAAGGTAAAACACAATCTATAAAAAAATTCATCGAGTCCCTAAAATGTACGGAATCTCATTATTGCCGTTCAAAAACATTCAACAGAATTTATTTGCCTGCTGAATAAGGCATCTCAAAACTATGGAGAATATACAACGACAAAATGGCCCAAAACAAAGACTTTAAAGTCAAAGAATGTTTCTTTAGAGATTATTTTAACAAAAATTCTAACGTAGGCTTTGGAACTCCGAAGACAAATTTGTGTTCAACTTAAAATATAAATCCAGCATACAAGACGAGAGTGACGAAGCAAAAAAACTAATCTGGAAGCACAACAACGTCTCCACAAAGTAAGAAGTGGGAGTTTTTATAGACTTCTTCAAGAAGCAAGAGACGACATGGTCATGATCAGTCGGCTTATTTCAGTATGCAACTTAATTTTTATCAACTAACTAGTTTGTGGATCTTTAAAAAGTAAATTAACCCCAAAAAATGTTAAGTCATATGTTTACACGGAGTTGGACCATCCATTATAGAAGTTCAAACGAAATATCGTCGTTCTTGCACGACTTCCTTTCAAATTTTAATTTTGTGGATAATGTACGTGTTCTTCGGCTTATTTGCGATGGGTGTGGAGCACAGAATAAAAATTCCATGGTCATCACCATGCTGAGCTATTGGCTTCAGTTTGAAGCTCCAAGACAAATAAAGGAAATGGAGATAGTGTTTCCCGTTGTGGGGCATTCTTATATTTCTTCTGATCGTGTGTTTGGACAAATTGAAAGAATTTATAAAAAACACAAGGTAATTGTTCATCCTGATGAATATGTAAAGTTAATCAAAAAGTTTGCCACTGTTAACAGAACTGGAACTGGTGTTGCAATTAAGAACTGGAAGGCTGAAACTCAAAAAGTAATAAAACAATCAGGCTATTAGCATTTTAAGTTTCAACCAAGACAGTAATCATTACAAGAGGACAAACAGTACCACTTATAAGGGGTAAGACATTTTACAAAACTGACTTATGCGCACCCAAAAGCTTATGCAAAAGAGAGAGAAAAGTCTCACAAATTAGTCCAAGAATACTGAAGGCTGGGATAACGATTAAAGAAGATAAGAAAAAAAGTATTACTAAGCTATTGTAGAAACACTACGGAAAGGGATGGCAAGATAGAGATGAACTGGTCTTTTGCAAAGAAGTATTGCACATAGCTATAGAGGAGGGACAAGGCAGTGAGGCAAACGAAGAGGAAGATAATTGCGAAGCAGAAGCAGTTAGCTTTGCAATATAAAATGGTGGATAAATGTTATCTTGCGTTGTTGAGTAATTAAACTTATTTTTCTAATAGATTTCGGTTTTCTTTTCTTTCAAAATATTAAATTCATCTGCAAACCCCGACATGTCCAAAAAAATACCTGTTTCTGGGGGACCCTAGATTTTTTTAAAGTGTTTTTTATGTATTATTATCAAAAACCACAATTTTCTCAAATAGTCGCTTCTTAATTTAATAGGATATAGATTTTACAAGTTTTTCTTCATTATCTCAAATCTTGTTTACCTGGACTTATCGGGTTTTGAATCTAGGCGACTGATATATTCGTCCCGTGTCCGTTCCATGTCAGTGTCGAGACCGGGTATTTTTAACGATATATTTACATACAACCGCATTGTGACAGTATTCGTACCGGACCGATTAAGAGAGGAAAACGTTTTTACATATTTCTGTATAAAAGAATGTTGAAAATATGGCAGCTTGGATAGAATATGTCACCGTGATGGCATTATTATTTGATTAAGAGGAAGAGCAAGAGCAGAAAAGGCGGAAAAAATTAAGTGTGCTTACTACGTGGAAAAAAAAACAGACCGAAGGAGAATTCAAAATATACCGAGAACTATTTGACGACGAAACAAAATTTCACGATTATTTAAAATGTCGTAGTACTCTTTTTTAATACATATAAAAATATATAACATACTTACCGCATAACATCTCCTGTTTGTCACAGCACTCGTGTTTACAAAACAATAAAATCTTGTTTATACAAGTCCGTGCGATCCGTGTTATTTCCGTGCATCGCCAGTGGTGAAAACAAAAATATCATTTGGGATTAATTTCACGCCAAACACGGACGTGCCCCGTACAGGAAACGTCAATGTATAAATATACTCAAACGATTACATTATTGTTTTTTTTTAAATGGACCCTGCACGGATGTGTACAAATCGACCTTTATTCGGGCGTTCAGAAACCAACCCTGAGATAAAACCTACTATTCGATTGGTTTTTAAGTATTACGCGTAGATAGCCATTAAAAATACAGTTACTCTGTAGTAATAGGTTCCATTGTTACGGTGACAGACAGGTAACGCTAAGCGCACACACATCGAATTGGGACGGTCAATAAAAGTTCGACCCAACAAATTCCTTTGGTGGCGCGAAGAAACAAATGTGAGCGGGCTCACACATCGATCGCCAAACGGCACGGCATCGATGTCGTGTGATGGTCGTGTGGCGATCGATGAATGTCACTGCATTCACGGCTGCCGTGGTCGTTGCCGTCGTTTCAAGGCATATAATATCAAATTAACGCGGGCATACACATCGATCTTTATCGACCGACCAGAGGACCAGTTGCGTTTTTTGACACTACTCAAGGAACGTCGCTCCGTGTTGCTACGTAGTTCTGTGTTGCTCATTGTGATTTTGTGTACTCCACCTAACAAACCTTTGTGGATTAAAAAACGTCATCGAATAAATATCGTGTAGTGTGCGCGCAAGGCATCATCGACAAAAGTTCGGTCGAACTTTTATCGACCGTCCAAATGTGTATGCGCCTAGCCTAATAGGTTCCGGTAACCTATTACTTTTGACGCCTATTGCCCAAGCTGCAAGCAGCTCCATTCCGCTTGGCTTGCTTATAGTTTCTTGTAGTAGTCATAATATCTGCTTTAATAAACGAATACTTTTTGTTCTTTGTAGTTTATTTTTGTTTCAACCGTGAGTGATAAACATTCTGCATATGTTTGATGGTTGTTAAAAATAAATATTAAACATACAGCTGATACATGCTTAAAAATTAAAAAACATTGAAATCTACATTTGTCGATTCCTTCTCACTAGGTCGAGGTAAAGTAACAGTTGGTTGTATGTTTCTGTAATAAATATTTCCTAAAATTTGAGACAGTAGTTTTATAGCTTTGCGATTGCCCACATAAATCACATTATCAGTAATATTAAAGTAAGACCACAAATATCTTGTGTTTTGTTTTTTGCTTATTGTGATTTTAAACAAAACAAATAAAAATAACCAAAAGAAATAACCACTTACAATAAACTATTATTAACGAACAGGCACTCGAAAATTTATTTTTGCATTAACTACAAACAACTACACTAGAATAAGAGCAAGCAAATTCTAATAACATACTAACAATAAACCTAGAGTCCGTCTTAATAATAATCGTACGTGCTTATGGTATTCCCAGCTATTTAACTTTATGAAACATAAAGCTCATCATAAATTCGGTGACAATGACCATCCTATTCTGTTATCGATTGGGCGACCGATTCCCATCGTTCGATATTGTCACGTCAACATATCGAATGCAGATTCGAATACCATTGCGTTTTACGTTATAGTTACACTGTGACTGTGACAAAAGGAATAGGCAGTTTGCTGTAACCTATTATTGAGAAAACGAATACTTATTGGTAATAGTGTTATCACAGTATAGACAACAACCAGTATTGCCACTCCGCTTTGGCTCCAAAGTTCGCGCAATTTTACTCGCGCAGACAGTCAGCCGTTTTCTCTATCGTCCGAAAAATTTGACTTCTCTCATTGGTCATTGGCCATTGTCATTGGTCATAGATAAAACGTATAGTATATACAATAGAGGCCATTGTGTATTGGTTTACTTTTTGTGTATTTATAGATACAAATCATGATACTATAACAACAAGATATGCTCACTTGCTGTTCTAATTTTAATTGACTTTGCGCATGTCGTCATAGCGAGACAAAGACAGGGACTTGTATGTATCATATTTTAGCGATGCATCATATGGCAACGTTGTTCCATTACTGTATTGAACAACTCCAAAACTTAAACTGTTAAAGGTAAGTATAACTCGATGCCATATCTTGCACTAAGAAGTCATAACTAGTTACTGTCTGTGAAAATGTGTTTTGAAATAATAAGTAATTTGTAAAATTAATTAAAGAAATATATTACAATTTGATTGTGTGTATTACAAACAAAATAAATATTGCTACAAAACATAAATTAAATATAAAAGGTCGGCAAAATGTAAAGAATTTGACCATAAAGGAAAAGCTGGTCAAACTTGAGACTTTATGAATATCATTTAGACATTTATTTTACAATCTTTGTGATTTTTCTTTTGCGGTATTGTAATTATCTTTAATATTTTCATTTAAAATTCGTATTTATAATATATATAACAAGCGAGTCTTCTACAGCTGGCGCCGCTTCTCGCATCCTAATTTCCAGCGTTTTCTGTAGAAGCAATCTTCAGTTGTTAGATCTCTGGCGGTCATTGCATCGTCGATATCGTCTCTCCAGGATCGTTTTGGTCTACCTCGTTTTCTTCTAGTTGGCGGAGTCCATTCTTCTATTTTTTTTGGCCATCTATTTTCCGGCATTCTCTGAAGGTGTCCATACCAGTTAAGTCTTTTGGCTTCTATTGTGTCGTATTTTAAAATATTCGTATTTTTAAATAAATTCGTATTTTAAAATACATTTTACATTTAAAAAAACTAATTTTACATCTTTGCTAACATTTACATATTTTGAAGCTTCTATTAAGTTTTTTAAATAATTTTTTGTTATTTTTAATGTGTCGCCATTATAACTACGAAAAATATGTTCCATTTCACTACATATTACATACATCCAAAGTACCTTTTTTTAAAGACCTATCAAAAATAAAGTATTACTTCAAGTTCTATTAAAATGGGCATTAGTATACATTATTATCTATAGAAACATTTACTCTGCTATTATTAATATTAATATATTAATTCTCTGCTGTTATTAATATTAATTATTTTTATTTATATAACTAGAATTGCATCAAATGAAAAATTTAAATTTAATTTTAAAGTTTAACTTGCTGTCATTAATTTTGACAATTTGGCATGTTCTCTCTTTAGCTTACGTCACAAGAACATGCGCGTTGACTTATCGTATTTTGTTATAGTATCATGGATACAAATAATCTTTAGACATTTTTTATTTCGCAATAACGTTGTATAAGTACGTCAATATGTACAAAAATAAAAACAAAAAGCCTTGCCACAATCGTGCAGCTACAAAGTGTTGTAATAATTCTAGAGAAAGTAGTGTTAGCTTTTTTTTGTTTCCAAAAGATGTTGATAGGTTAGTCGGTGAGTGTTAAATTAGGATTAAAATTGTGTATTACAGATGTTAAGATGTTATAATTATTTATTAATAGTGGATTTTCATCGTGTATTAATGGCAGTTGGACGAGAAGATTTTTATGGATAAGGCAGAACGTTTACATACAAGTCATCGTCTTTGTTGTACTCATTTCGACAATAAGATGTTTCTGAATAATATGAGAAATCAATTACAACCTTCTGCAGTTCCCACAAACTTTCCTTTAATGGAGGGCTCATAAACTTCTGATCATATTTATTCTGCAGTAGTCCAAAACATATGTCTTCGAAGATGTCCTATTCTATCTATCTATCTAATGAGCCTTAAGGCCTATCCTCGATAATCCTAACGGTAAAATTCAGTGAGCTATCTATTTTAAAAATATCTTTCTTTACGAAAAAAAAAAATCCATTCATGAAGAATATTCTAAACGTCATCTGGTACTAAATTTTATATTTTTACCTACTTACAACCCCCTATTGTGAAGTCTTGGGTGTATACAATAAAGCGAGCGGGAGGTCTTCTATTCATTGCGATTATGAGGTAATTAGAATAATACGAGTATACCAGAGTAATATTATTTATTGAATAATTAATTCACAACTTAGCAAGGGTACACACAGGTAACAAATAATCGTCCTGTAAATAATTCATGACAATTAAATCGAAGACAAACTTTTATAAAATTTTATAACAAAATAATGTATAACAAGATATAAGTGTATTGGTTTTTTTATGTCTTATATTTTCTTTTGTTATTGTTTTTTTGCTGACAAATTGGCTTTTAACGTATATTACAGTTTGATGATAAATATTCTGAAATGGAAAATTTGAGATGTGGCGAATAAAAACATTCATGAAATTAAAATGAAGGGATTTACGTCTATTAGTGGTGCGATTTATAAAATTAGTAGCTCAAATCGCGGGAGGAATATATGCATTAGTTTTCAAATATTTATTATTTACGATATAATTTCTAAATTGAACCACTTTCACTTCTTTAAGTAACAATGTATCTGTCTTGACAACTAAATAGGTAATCAGACAAAATAATGATTATTATTAATTTCAAAACAGGAGTTTAAAGAATTAGAAGAAGGTAGTCCGGGTCCAGTTAAACAATCAAGTTTATTCCAGTGGAAGCAATCAGGAGGATTATTTTTCGTTTTGGCTCAGCTGACATGCTCTCTCTAGCACTAGAACCCATGAAACTATGGTAAAAAGCATGCTTTTATTTACACGGTTGGGAAACGAGACGATTAACAGAGACATCGAAGAAAGATATATCGCTGAAATGGATGCAATAAAGTATGAGAATAGAAGGTACAGTCATGGATGGCATACAATGAAGGCATCTCAAATGGTACGGACATGTCCAATGAATGAAAGACAGTAGACTCCCGAAAAAAGTACCTCTATGAACAACTACAGGAATCCAGAAGAGAGGACTACCGTAGAAAACACGGATGGAAGGAATAAAAAACTCGATGAGCTCGAAAGTACTTAAAGAACAATGGAATAACCGAATTCAATGAAAAATGGACGTCGGAAGACGTTTTATACGGATTATATCATATTACGAGTATAGGTACATTGTTATTATATCATATTATATATATTTATATAATATATTATATACACGATATTGAAGGAGGTTAAAACATAGACAATCAACAAAATCTATTGTCAACTACATAGTGAAGTCCCAACAAGAGAAGAAGTGTTAAATGCCGTCTTAAAACAAAAAGCCAATAAAGCCACAGGAATCGATTCAATCTGTTGAGAAATGTACGAAAAGGTGGTGATCAACTTTTTGCAGTAATCCATAATCTAATAGTACTTATATGGCAGAGTGAATTGGTACCAGAAGAGTGGCTAAATGAAATAATATGCGTTGCATAAAGGGCTATCAGCTGGATTGTAAGAACTATAGAGGCATTACTCTGTTAGCATCTGCGTATAAAATCTTCGGCAATGTATTGTTTGAAAGACAAACATTTTTTAAAGGATATTGTTGATTTACTGCTGCATAATCAACTATACATCAAATTCAAGCACATGGGCAGAGTCTAGAAAAGTCACTAGAATATAACATAGATACACGTTATGACAGCCTATGACAGTGTTAAGCAATGATAGACTTTGGTTGGGATCCCACCGAAGTTAGTTAAGTTGACCCAACTAACAATGTAAAACGTGAGTTCGTGCGTTAGAATTGAAGGAGAAAACGCCCACTCTTGGGCATAGGCCTCCCCTGTTAATCTCCATTGGTCTCTATTTTGGGCGATCTGCATCCAGTCCTTTCCTGCCGTTCTCTTAAGATCGTCAGTCCATCTCATCTGTGGTCTTCCTCTTTTTCTTCTCTTTTCCGATGGTCTCCAGTGTAGAATTCGCTTATTCCATCTTTCATCTTTTTGCCGGAGAGTGTGACCGGCGAAGTTCCATTTAAGTTTTGCAACCTGTCTTGATACATCGTTCACCTTTGTTTTTTCTCTGATTCATGAGTTTCTTTTCCTGTCTTTAAGACCGATACCCAGCATCTGTCTTTCCATTGCTCTTTGTGTTTTGGATATCCTGTCGATGTTCTTCTTTGTGAAAGTCCATGTTTGTGAGCCATATGTGATAACTGGTAAAATGCACTGGTTGAATACTTTCGTTCGCATATATTGATGTCCTATTAATGAAGGTAAATAAAATAAATAATTAAGATGTAACACATATGTAAGCTTTCTCTTTTCCTTTTAGAAATAGTGAAAAGTTCATGTATGGATATCGAGAAAAATGTTAGTATTAAACATAAACCATCCACTATAACTGTACTTTAGGATATTACTATTACTCCTGGTAACAACAACATATTTGAAGGTGAACCTGAACATGTAACTACACGGCCAGTAACACCGCTAAGTACAACACCAAGTTCAACCAAAGTGTCACAACAATTATCATTAAATACTCCCCGAAAAACAGGATTACGAAGTACAGTTATACAATTACGGAAAGAAAATCATTATTAAAAAAAAAAAAAAACTTCAGAAGTTACAGTGTGCAGAAAAGAAGTATATTGACAATGTGATTTTAGCTACCCTTGTGAACAATTTCCACTAAAATATTGTATAACTTTATTTAGCTGTGTATGTTTGTACTAGTCATTAAAATTCATGAATAGAAATTTCAAGATTCAAAAACATGAAAGCAAAGCTAAAAGAAAAAATTATAAATTGATTATTAGGAAACATCAATAAAATATTATTTAAAATTTATTAAATATTTAATATTTTTTATTACAATGAACAGATAATATCAATCAATAATTAGTATATCCATTTAGGGGTTTTCTTTACATAGAAAAAAATATCTTGTCATATTCCATAAAAATATATTAGAGCGTTACTTCTAATGAATTAATAATTAATTATATTGACATTAATCAAGATCAAGTAAACAACAATGTAAAAGAAGATTCAAAATCATGTTCTAAACTAAACAATTCTAAACTAAAAAATGATACTTTGTATAACTTAATGTGTACTTACTTATTTCATTCATGTATATTTAATTTGTATCTGTAATAGTATAGGTATATTGTATATATCTATATTGTTTTTTGTATATTTTGACAGTGGGTAATAAATAATAACATATTTGTGTGGATATTTAATGAAAAAATGTTTAGAATTACATAATTATGAAATATGTGTATATCTAATTTGTCAGATACTATTGTATATTCATATTTTAGGGCATATGAAAATAGAACCAGTGACACATTTGGTAATCTAAAAATGCCTACTGTACAGCCGAATATTATTAAAACATATGTTTCTCTATTTAGTACCATAAATTTTAGCCAACCTTGTGAACAATTTACACTAAAATATTGTATAACTTTATTTAGCTGTGTACGTTTGTACTATTTATTAAAATTCATGAAGAAATTTACTTATTTATAACAATATCACAAGTCAAAATACCCTTTTTTATTACAATGAATAGATAATAGCAATCAATAATTAATATACCTATTTAGGAGTTTTCTTCACATCTTCTTGTATTTTTTGTGAGATGTAACTAAGATATTTTATCATATTTCATAAAAATGTATTAGAGCATTACTTCTTATGAATTAATTAATTATATTGACATTAATCAAGATCAAGTAAACAACAATGTAAAATAAGATTCAAAATCATGTTAGAACAAAAGCAATTTTTTATAGAATAGTCCATACTCCTGAATTGCTTTAGCTAATTTTTTTTCATATTCCTTCCCGTTCACTGCGTCAGAATTTACATTTCCATGGATCTCATCGCAGAACTAATTATGGTTCAAATATAGGCATGATCTGACTTCTCATACATGCAAATCCGTGCCCATGAGATAGAATTTTTTTTAACTTCTGAAATTTTAAACTACAAAATGATACTTTGTAAACTTAATGTTACTTATTTTATACATGTATATTTGAGTTTTATTTATAATTGTATTTATCTACAATGAATTTTTGTATAATTTCAACAGTGGGTCTGTCACCTTTGTTATTAATAAATAAATAAATAAATGTAATATCTAATGTAACATATAATATTAAATGAAGTTCACTTAAAAATTTATTTTTTATTTCCACAAATACATTCTTAACATTGACAGGATAACGCTACTTTTAGCACTTTGTACTATTCCGTTAGACATCTAAAGTACATCAACAAGGATTATAAGAAAAAACTCAAAAACAAAAAAGAAAATTGTGTTATGAAGTACAGATATAAAATTATAGAAGGAAAACAATTATTTAAATTAAAAATGCAGACGTTACATTCTACAGAAAAGAAATGTGTCGATAATGTGACAATTGAAGACTATATGACGCTTACATCTAAATTTTGTCCTTCGATAAATTTAGCTAATTTCATAAATGTTTAAATTTTACAGTCTAGAAAAAAAAGCAAGAGGTAGAAGATTCGGTAATCAGTTTAAACAGGATGTCTCTTAATGTACTTCAAGGGGCCAAAACTTTTACAAAAATGTTTTGTGTAACAAATTTTGTTTACCCAGCCCTAATATATTATTTAGTATAACCCGACAAGCGAGAGTTGGCGGGTTGCGCGTAGAACAAATTGAAAAGTGGAAGGGATTGCTCATTTCTATTGCAGTCGGCTAGGAGTTCACATCGTGTATAACCGTTTAAGTACCTATACTATATACCTATAATTGCGATTAAGTACCTCTTCTATCTCTCTTAGAATAATTTCTTTTCTATTTTCGCGCAGCTCACCCGCCAGCTCTCGCTTGTCGGACTATACAACTGTATATTCATATGTTAAGTATATGTAAAAAAATAGAACCGGTGACACATTTGGTAATCTAAAAATCCTTACTTGTGATTCTGTTTACTTTATAAGTAGAAATACTTGGCATTCTCTTTCAAAAGAATTTTGACATATTAGCTATACAGCCGATTATTATTAAAACGTGTTTCTCGATTTATTAGCACAACTTTGAGTCACCTTTTGACCAAAGTCCACTCAAATACTGTACAACTTTATTTAGCCGTGTACGTTTGTACTATTTATTAAAATTCAATAACAGAAATTTCAATACTCAAAAATATGAAAATAAAACTAAAAGAAAAAAAAAACAAAATGATTATTTGGCAACATCAATAACACATTATTTAATCGTTTATATCGAAATAACAAGTCAAAATAGTCTATTACTATAGACGTTGTAGTATATTTATATAAGTAGGATGTAGTGTATTTATATAAGCTTATAATATATATAGGTATATATATATATATATATATATATATATATATATATATATATATATATATTGATAAAGTTGTATTTTATTAATTTTATTTTTTATTTATAATAAATGTAATTTTTAAAATATGTGATTCGTTGTTTAATTTATTATATACCTCAGCTAGCTCAATTATGTATTCTAAGCAATCTGTCACTGTGTGACGTCGACTCTGTAGTCTCCTGGTAGAGTTCAAAAAGAAATTAAACCAAACTTTACTTTAGACTTTTGATAAATTAACCCAAATGAAGCACGTTATTTATTAATATTGAACAAATTTAATATAAACAATAAAATTCGTCTGCAACTTCGGTTGCCTTTAAAAATTTACAAAAATAGGAATCGTTTAAGTCTTAACGTGGTTTAGTGACGTGACAATAAAATGTATTACAAAATGTGGAGACTCTCTACAAGTACCTAAAAACTAAATAAATATTGCAACTTTATAAAGTGTTTAAATGAACTATAAAGAAAAAGAAAATGAACACTTTTTTCCGCTGACTATTCAAATATAATCAAAATTTCAAATGATCCCCAAAATTATTGTCCAACCTCACTTTAAAACAGTTCTGATTTCTTTAAAGGTAACTAACTACTCAAAAATAATCGGTGAAACTGGAATATCAATCCTCTCTTCGGAAGTTAAGGTACGTACTATTCTATTTTTAATTTAATGATCAAATTTCAATTTTTAAGGCCTATCGCAATTATGTTAATTCATGAATTTTAATTTTCTCAATTTAAATGACATTTCTATACTCCAATATAATTTATAAGTGAAATTGTTTCTCTTACTCTCTGGAACAAATTTCTGGATATCTCTGCTGTGGAAACTGTGGAAAAACTAAATTCTAATTAGACGAGTTAAAAAACACTCCCGACCTATTCCACAGTTTCAAACTCTCCTTCGTCCAATAAAACCTCGTCGGCGTCCTCTCCAAAAACCAATTCGTATTATTATCCGTTGCTAACAGCAACCAACGTTCTTTTTTTTTGTCTTCTATTTAAATATTTTAAACCATAAAACTGTCCTGTTTGACATATTTGTCAAGCCACATTACTTTCTCATAATCACTTTAATCACATATAATTTGGGAATTTACAAAAAAAAATGTTTATATATAAAACTTATTCTATTACAATACTAATTTATTCTTTTCATCTCCACATCATTGTAATTTCTTATTTAACAAAACCCCTATTAATTTAGCTCCCACAGACTGTCAAATAAACTGTTAAGCAGTTTATTTTCTGACGTTTATTAAAATTTCTATAAATATTTTTTTAAAATTCTTCTTTTTTTGTTCCTTTTAAGGTTTAGACGATTCACCTATACACTAGGCAACTATACTATTCAGAAATTATTAACACTATACCAGGTAAGTCAAAATTAATTTATTTAACAATTTACTAATCTTTTTCTCTCTTTTATTTCAGAGTCGAACCCACATTGTGATGGCTTCATGAAATTCATAAACAACAAACTCATATAAAAATCCATTAAAGTTGTATATATTTTAACATATTGAAATCATTTCAATATATATATATATATATATATATATATATATATATATATATATATATATAAATATATATATATATATATATATATATATATAAATATATTTTATATATATATATATATACAAATATATATATATATATATATATATATATATATATATATATATATATATATATATATATATATATACCACATAGTTTTAAAAGTAGCATATTTATTAAAAACTGTTGCATAACTCTCCATTTGATTTTTTTATAGTGTATAAGGCAGTTCTGTACACAAAAAGTTGTGAAACGTTAGAAAATAAAATCATAAATACAACGCAGTAAAAGAAACAATTTTAGGTTTTTTTTTAATTTCTCGAAGGATAAAAGAGTAACAAAAAAAGAGTTTTTAAATTGATTGAAATTAAAATCAATTTCGTTAAATAAATTTTCAAAATAAATCAAAGTCGGCTCTGTCGCGTCCATATGTGCAGTGCCAGTCCAGGGTTTTCATCCAAACAATATGGCGTCAAGGTCACCGAATTTGGACTAAAAAGATCAAAGGTACCACGGCAGAGTGAGAATACTGGTTATTATTTATACTGTGGTGTTATTTATCCGAATACTTTATATAATGCCCATCTTTTCGCGTAGGTATAAGTCTTAACAAATGAGAATAAGTGTGTGGATTAATCA